AATTAGATGACGAGGCATTTGGCTACCTTAAGAGAAACTTTCTCACAGCAGCACTTTCTCGCCGCGTCCAAAGCCAACTTGATGAAAGTGTGCGTTTTAAAGTCTCTATGAATAAACCTAAAAGCTCTGTATTTAAAAAATGACTCTACCAAAACATGTATGCTACATTTTTGGAAAGGTAATCTCACGTTCTATTGTAATATTTAGGAATATATAGGGTGTTTCATAAAAAAAGTTTTCCATCAATAATTGTATGTATCTCAATTGAAAAACTGAGTTTTTTACAGTTTTCTGCATCATTGAAAGTGGAAATGTTTCCATAAAAACAAGAAAGCTTTGACAGGAAAAAAGTTACTCCAACTTTTCTCAAATGCATTTTTTCGAAAAATATGCTGTAACTCAGAAACGTTGATAGATATCGGTATACGGTTTTCACCATTAAGTTTGTCATAAAATTTGACCCCTAGACACGGCCATCAGTTTCCATATATCTAATTTGAAACCAGGAGTTTCCCTTCAAAACTTGTCAATTTGGTCCACTCAGTACATACGTTTCAAATTGTGAACCAATTTCTTTGAAGCGGGTAAAATCGGATGTATATGATTCTTTTCAGGAATGGCAAAAAACAATTCGTTTGTTATTAGTTATTTGAATGTTATTCATCTTCATCTAAAATTCTATTGAATCTTATTATTCACTCTTTAAACGGATGGCGTGTTTTCGAGTGTCTTCAAAAAAGCCAAAGTTATTCCTATTCATGAAAAGGGTTCATATGAAGATATAGATAACTGTCGCCAAATATAATTACTGAATATTCCATCTAAACTTATTAAAAAAATAGTAGTAAATAGAATTATTGTGTGTCTCGAAAAATAAAAGATTCTAATCGATCATCAACATGGCTTTAGAAAAGCTAGATCAGTTGAGACTGCTATTCCTAGAAAATTCGAGTTTATTTACAAGGAAATTGTTAAGGGCAATTACGTAGTTCCCATATTATTTGACTTGGCTAAGGCGTTTTATTCAGTAAATAGTGATATAATGGTTAGTAAGTTATATAACATTGCCATTAGAGGGTTCCTTTTGGAATGGATAAACTCTTTTATGGAAGATAGGAAAATGGTAGTGACTGTGACTAATGCAGTATCTGATATTCAACATGTTATCTTTGGGGTACCACAGGGGTCCATTTTAGGCCCACTGCTTTTTTCCATCTATATAAGTGATCTTCCGAAGTATACAAAACAAGGTTTTTCATTATTCTATTCGCAGATTACACTACCATGACAGTTTCCAGAAATACTGCGGAGGAGCTAGGAAACAACATTGGTTCAGTCATGGATGACATAATTTTTTGCTGTGATATAAATCAACTGAAACTGAATTACAGTAAAACAGCCCATTTAGGCTTCGCGTTAAGGAAAACAGTGACACTTAACAACATCCAACTCTCAGAAACAGACGAATTCCTTGGTATGTTTATAGATTGAACCTTGTCTTGGGAGCCCCATATTGATCATGCCTGCAAAAAATTGAATCAAGCAATATTTGCAATACGACAGATCAAAGACGTGCTTGGTTCAGATGGTGTCAGGACTGTTCACTATTCATTGGCTTACTCACATATGGCTGAAAATATATTAATGTGGGAATCTTCTGCGGGGGTAAACGTTTTTATTGTTCATAAAAGATTAATTAGAACTATCTTCAATATTACACTCACGGATAGCTTTCTGTAAGAACAAGATGCTAACGTTACTGTACATCTATATATCTATATAAAGCTCTGCTCCATGTGAAAAATAATGTACCCAATCTGAGAGATGAATCAATAATTCATAACTATGCAACACGAAATTGATATTTATTGACTATCCCAAAACATAAAATATCGACATTTAAGGAATGTTGTTGCCTCGAAATATTAAAGATCTGCGTATTATACCAATCGAAAAACAAACAAAGAAACTATTAACTAATGAGGGATACTATAGCGTAGAAGATATCTTAGAAAAAGATACAATGTTATGATGATTATTGCTTTCACTGCATTTCTTTCACCCTAGTTAAAGATTGATTTTCTTTTATGTATATTTATGTATATGTGTTTTTTTATTTTTTATATATGTATATAGTTGAGTATCTATCTCAAATGTTCGATCTATGCTATACTGTGAACCGTTATTATTGTTTTATATAACTGTTACATTTTTCATTTATGACATGTCTTATATCGTTTAAATTATGGAAAAGACGAATACAGTTATCATTATTATTATTTCCAGTATTTTCAGGAAATGGCAGAAAAATTCTGTTGATCATTTCTACAAGTTTTGATCACCTCATTCACTGGATAAGATTACAAACGTAACAATCATATAAAAAATATTACTAACCTTCCTGAAGCAGCGGCATCGTGATGTTCACAAAAAACAACCTCAACAACATTAACTGTTCAATTGAAGAATACAAGAAAATAATAAGATGACGACACGTGATCAAGTGGTCGCAGGTGAACGCACGTCTGAAATCGAAGTCCCAGAAATCGAGTGGAAACAATGTCTCTCACGCGAAGCGTCGACAAAACAACTGCCGTCGCGACGCTCGAAAAGCTCACGGCCAGCATAAAGTTTGAAGGCATGCGCTCCGAAGTGGAAAAGAGATTATGGGGGTGGATATGATGTGCTGGTGGAGACTAACAATCTTTTTATCTTTTTATAGTCGGTATCTCGCTATTGTCGGTTGAATGGTAGCCAAAATGTTTTGGGGATTGGGTGGAATCCATTTATTATTGCTTGGTTATATATCACCTGTCAACATAAAGGTCCAAAGGAACTGAATCCTCTTTCCTCAGACTTTCCGGATTGGAAGAGAATTGGTGTTTTTGGAAATGAGGTTATTATGGTGAATTGGTTTCTGGTTAATAGTAATGATCGCAACAAGAGCACTCAGATGATTCTATCGAGAACCTGATATAACTGTTGAAGGAATGAAAAGATAATATCACTGTCATAACAACTGAAATCACTGACTTCAACTTCTACATCAAATTGGAAACAAGGTGATTGGGTAAAATAGCAAAATGTGTGCCTTGGTGATTGCAAATTCAAGCCGATAAATCTTTTGCTAGACAAATTTGGTTCTGAATAGATTCTGATATATCCCCAACATTTCGAACTCTTCTAATTCAATTTTGGGGGATCGTGAATTATGAGAATACATCTGAATAAATATCACTCAATTTGAACAGTTTTTGATGCATTCCATGACTATAGACATTTGAAGTTACAAGCTATGATATAGATGCTCTCTTTTATTGTACAACTAGTGAGGTATTCAAAGTGATTAAAAATGGACCGAATGGACTGACGCATATCAGAAAACAACTACTCCCCTGGCTAATACCACGAAAGGCGTTGGATTATATCCGTCAGTACCTCGTCCACTAAATGGAGTGACATTTTGTTATTTGCTCCAACTAACGAAGATGAATGAAATACTCTGAAAAAATTCCAATTTTCAATGATGGAATATCATTGACTTTAGGTCGATGATGGCCACTATCTTGCACTGATGAGTGACTAATAAACCCGAAATCGGTCTGCAAGTGTGCCCGTTCCCGATAATTCTGGAGTTACAAACAAACAAACAAACATACATACATAGAGGTGAAGTTAATAAAAGCGTGTTAATAATAACAAAACCACGATGCGACGTATGATACAGCAGCATATATCTGCTGTGACGTGAAAAACGATGTTTTTCACGTCCTCTTCTGGAAATGTCATCAACAATTAATGTTGCCGGAGTACGTGATGGTGTTAAAGAGATTGGCCTATAATTATCCAATTTATTTCAATAGTTTTTTTTTTTGTGCACAGGTATAACTTTTGATGTTTTGAGTTGAGTAGGGACTGTGCCTGTCTCGAAAAAAAGTTCACAATATGAAATGAAAAGGAAAGTTACAAACAAACAAACAAACATACATACATACAGGTGAAACTAATAAAAGCGTGATAAAATAATAATAAAAATATACTTTTTTCAAATGAAGAAATACATGAAAAGTGAGTTGAATCATATCAAGGGTGTTACGTACAGCGCCATCTGCCTGCGAATAGATCAATCAATGATATCGATGATTCTATAGTTACAAACAAACAAACAAACAAACATACATACATAGAGGTGAAGCTAATAAAAGCGAGTTAAAAATAATAAAACACGATGCGATGTATGATACAGCAGCATATATCTCTGTCAGTTTAAACACGATGTTTTTCACGTCCTCTTCTGAAAATTTCATCGACAATTAATGTTGCCCGAGTACGTTAAAAACCTTTCATTCAAAAAATTGATTATTAAAAAAAAACAAAAAATTCCATGATAGTGTGTGTTCCATGTTCCTAGCAGTGTTTTCAATTATCAGTACAAGCATAGGTTTTCAACCTCTACTAGAAATTTCCATAGGCTATCACATATTCCATCAAGCACTTTCTATCTTGGAATTTAAATAAAACAAAGTGTGTATGAGATATAATCAAAACTGTTGGTTCATTCGAAAGACATATTGACGCCAGCATGTATTAGATATAACATCATTCAAATGTTTTGAAAACGGTTTGCACTGAATACCATACAGCTCAAAAATTACCATTTGATTGCTCAATATCATTAAATAACTCTTCAATCAGTACATCGAAGTCTTCAAAATTTTTCGGAACCATACTCGACTGTAATCTATCTTGGGAGGCACAAATTAGTAGTGTAGTAGTAGTAGTAGTAGTAGTGAAAAAATCAACCAGTGTTTCTATCTATTGACTGTTTTGAAATCTATGCTAGATAGGGATACTTTATTGAGTGACTATTATGCATAATAAAAATTGAAATTGGTAACACTTACTTGGAATATGAGTCTAAAATAAAGTATCTGGGAGTTATTGTAGATAATACAGTCATGCTGAATACGTTATAAAAAAAATTCAATTTTTTTTTCTAGGGTAGCAAATGATTTGACTATTAACTCCAGAATATTAACATATAATTGTATAACTAAACCTCATTTTGAGTACTGTCCAACTTTAATGCATTTAATAAACCAAAGTAGGCTTTCCCAATTTCAAAAACTCCAAAATAGGGGCATGAGAATTATATTAGGATGAAGTTGTTATACTTCCATTGATCACATGTTGAATATACTACAATGGCTGTCGATTTCCAATCGATTATTCTTTTTAACAATGGTTTTTTATATTTAAAATAATCAAAAGTCCCCAACCAACATATTTTGATGAATTTTTGGTTTTTAATAATCAAATACATGAACATGAGACAAAATCTTACAATAATTTTCATATATATAGATTTCACACTGGTGGCGGAACGAAAAACTTATTCTACAAGGGACTACGGGAATTTAACAATTTACCAAATGCCATTAAAGAGGAAAATAATGTAAGAGGGTTTAAAAGTGAATTATTGAAATACCTAGAGCGTTAGTTAGTTGGAAAATATGTATATTATATATAGGTTACTGTATCAATATTGGTTTTCAACATTGGGTCTTATAAATTGTATATTTTTTATTATCATCTTTTTATTCAGTTTATCTTCATTATTGTTATTATCTATAAACAGATTTGAATTTCATTGATATTTTTGGCACTGTGGAAATTTAAATTGTTAATAAGTTATTATGGCTTGTAAGATTAGGATGTATCCTATAATAAAGAATACTACTACTAGTACTATGCTTACTCTCAGATTTCCTATAATATCATAGTATGGGGGCAAGGGCGTGATAATCAAAGGGTATTTGTATTACAAATAAAAAATTGCGATCAATTTTTGACCTTCTTTATCAAACCTCATGTTTATATACAAGTATAAAAATCAAAAAATTCTTACTGTTACTTCTATTTACTTATATGAATCAGTGAGCCATATCTACCGACACCGAAATAAACCTCCAAAAAATTCTGATATTCACAACCACAATACAAGGTATAAAAACAACTTGTTTCGAAAAAAAAATCGAAGCTGTTCGGACTACTCAGTCCTACTGTGAATTCCTTCGATTCAAAGTCAACATAAACCAGGAATCAAACGTTTCAAGTCAATATCTTTATTTTATAACTTTTCAAATTATCGTCAATGTCAAAATCATCTTTTTTTATAAACGAATTTATGATCAATTATTTTAACATACCGAGTGAACAAAAGTGAACAAAATTAATTAAAAGCAACAACATTTTCCCCCTCTTGATGAAATCACTGTATTTGACATAGTCTTCAATTCATTGTCGTTAAGAACCTGTACCACACATCAATTTACAGATCTTTGTAACTGGCCGTTTATAGGTTCCTGATTTTGTTTTGACGTCCACAACTCTTATCTTATCATCCTCTCCCCTATAAACATTTACAATTCCCCCAAGTGGCCACAAATTCATTCATTTTTACACAAAATTTTATACAAATTTTTGGTGACTTTTTTTCGACAGCAGAAAATTGCAAAACATATTTTACTTTTATGTTTCTCACCAACAAATTAAACATGCTAGACAGCTGAAACTGTCACCTTATGATATTGGCTCAGATCTATCGTGTTTTATTTGAGAGTTTTTGTATAACTTTGGCGACGAGTACACTTTTCGGGGAATAGAAGCCTTTCTATTAACGGGTGATTTTTAAGAGGTATTGGATTTGATTTGGAATCGATAGAACGATCAATATAATTCAATGTTTGAAGATGATTTCATGCAAATGTTGTCCGCGGCTTCGCTTCAGATGGCCCATGCGCAAGGACCAATTTTGGCACACTCTCACTAACATATCGATCGGTATTTCACGTATAAATGCTTCAAAATTGGCTTCCAGAGCGTCAGTCATTGCTGGTTTATCCCTGTAGACATGAGCCTTAACGTGACTCCAGAAGAAATGATCCAAAGGCGGTAAATCACACGATCTAGGTGGTCAAACATGAGATGAACTGTTCATCGAAGGCGGCTCTCAATTGGGCCATTGTTTCGCGGCCGTGTGGAGTGTGGCACCGTCTTGGTGAAACCACATGTCAGGCAAGAAAAAGTCGTCAATCATCACACAGTAGTGCTCGCCATTCACAGTAACGTTCTGGCCATTGTTGTCTTTGAAGAAGTACAGCCCGATGATGCCACCGATCCATTATCCACACCAATCAGTGATTTTTCGGGATGCATCGGTAGCTCTTGCAATGCTTGTGGATGGTCTCCACTGCAGATGCGGCAATTTTGTTTGTTAACGTATCTATCCAACCAGAAATGAGCCCCGTCACTGAACACAATTTTTCGATAAAAATGTGGATCTTACTTCAACTTTGCCAGCGCCCATTCACCAAATGTTAGACGTTGTGGGAGGTCGTGTGGCTTCAATTCTTGCATTAGCTGTATCTTATAAGGTTTTACACACAAATCGTTTCGCAAAATTTTCCACGTAGTGAAGTACCAGAGGCCCAATTGCTGCGAACGGCGGCGAATCGAATTTCACGGTCATCACGAACACTGGCGGATACAGCCGCAATATTTTCTTCGGTTCTCACTCTACGTATGCGTGTTGGTGGTTTAATGACCAATAATGTAAACTGAATTCGAAATTTAGTCACAATTCGAATAGCTCCCTCAGTAGGACGACGAAACTGCGCATAAATTGGAAGAAGTGCACGATGCACTTTCTTCACCGAGCAAGAATTTTGATCATGAAATGCAATGAGTTGCAATGTCAAAATCGTCTTTTTTTATAAACATAGATAGATAGATAGATAGATAGATATTTATTCAACTATGTAACTCATACATGATATGGTTTATAGCAAGTCAATCACAATTAATAAATCATATATACCTTCAGGTATACAATATAAAATATATCAAAATCACATAAATTGGGTAATACACGTCAAAATTAATTTTTGTCTGAATAAACTCGTCTCTAGAATAAAAACAATGTTCGAGAAGATAATTTTTTACATTTATTTTGAACAATTTCTCGTTCATGGATCTAAATTCGCAGGGCAATTTATTATATAGTTTAAAATCTAATGAATTTTTCTCAGATTTGGACAACCTGTAACGTGGCAATACTAAATCATCAGCCGTAGCAGCCCGGGTAGTGTAATGATGCAGGCCAGAAACTTTTTGTATATTCTGCCTTTCTGAATGGATTTCTAGTAAATTTTGGTATATATACACACAAGGGAGTGGTAGAATCCTCATTGTTTTGAACAGTGGTTGACAGTGGTCTCTATACCTAGCCCCAGGTAATAGACTTATCACGCGTTTTTGTAACCTGAATATTTTTGAGGAATCAACAGCATTACCCCACAGAATCGCACCATAGCTGATCACAGAATGAAATAATCCAAAATAAACATTTTTTAACATGCTCGAATTGAGGCAGTACCTGAGCTGTCTAAGCAAAAATAAGAGACTGGATAGTCTCTTACTCAATATATCTATATGAGGGGTCCAGTTCAAACGATCATCTAAAACAACCCCAAGCAATTTACAAGGCTTACCTAACGTGATCTGATTATTACAGGAAATTATGAGGTTTTGTGTCTTCCCTTTATTCAGTCGAAGGTTATTGGTAGAGAACCAAGCATCCGCTTTAGTCATCAAGGTTTCAGCATTATCAAGAAGACGTGAAATGTTGCTGTTTGAACTGATGAAAGAGGTATCATCCGCAAATAGGACAATTTGACATTTCGTCCTCATGTGAAAACATAGGTCATTAATGTAGATGATAAACAACAGGGGTCCAAAAACAAAACCTTGCAGTACCCCATGTTTTATGATTTTCAGTTCTGAATCAGAACTGTTGTTGAGATGGACAAACTGTTGTCTACTTTCTGAGCAGTGCTGCCGCAACGTCAATTCAAAAAGTACCGAAATTTACAAGAAAATAGTACCCAAAATGTACTGCGCAAGACTAGGCATGGCAAATGCGCATAAGTCAATTCAGACCAAATGCCAGTAATGCCAAACGTGTAATAATGTTATCCATTTGAATTCGGAAAATATATGGAGTGAAAAATTTGCTGGAAACTAAGAAATATTCCTTAAGAGAAAGATCATAATCAGAACATTTGATGAAAAGGTGTCTTTTTCCTTCTCCAAATTGCTCTTTCACGATTTCAAATGTGTTTTGTTTTAATTAGGTTTCTGTCACAATAGAATGAACAATACTAAAGACGTTTTCAAGTAGCTAGATTCGAGACTTTATTTTTACCTGTCCATATTCCTTTTTATTTTGACAGAACAATAAAACCAATTTCTCAAGGTGAGGTGTGAGGTTAGAAGTTGAAACTGCTGTTCTGCTGACTGACTGACAGATGACAGAACCACAGTTCACAGGCACAATACAGAACACAGGTTTAAATAGTGCAGAGTTATGATGATAGCTCGCAATTTTGACACAAGTACGGTATTTGCTGATCTGGAACTTGAAACACGGAATTGCATTGTTGCCACACATATTGTTGTTATTTTTTACTGTACTCGATGGGAGTCAACGTGAAAATGTAAAAAATTGGGATTATAGTAAATAGTACCGAATAGTCTACATATTGATCCGGGTAGTATCTTCGTATCAAAATCATGGAATAGTACCGAATGCGGTACAATAGTACCTTAACGGCAGCACTGCTTCTGAGTAAGACTTGAACAGGTTCAACGGCGTGCCTCTAATGCCATAGAATGAAAGTTTTTCTATTAAAAGTTCGTGTGAAACACAATCAAAAGCTTTGAAGAGATCACACATGGTAAGTACTGAATGACCATGTCTCTCAAAACCCTCGACTATGCTTTCTAAAATCTCTAGGAGGGCTTTTGTTGTAGATTTTTTTCTACGGAAACCGAATTGAAATGAAGATAACAGTTCAAATCTCTCCAAATATCTCGAAAGTCTGTCTTTCAGCAGTATTTCAAAAACCTTAGAAAAAATAACGATAATAGAAATTGGTCTGTAATTGTCAAG